AGTACAGGTTTTACACCCAAAATACAAACTTTCCTTTGTTAGAGGACTCAGTTAAAACCAAATCGTAATCTAACATGTTCTAAAAAATGAGCTCACTGTTGATATTGCTTTTGCCCAGAGAGTGAGAGAGGTCAGCCAGTTTGGCTGAAATGTTACCATAGGCGAGAAGTTGTTCAGGTTCATCATGTGAGAGTCCACTATCGTCTTCATTTTCCAAAGACTCAATAGTCTCCTCCAAAAACATTAAGCAGGCCTTCTCTTCTGCAGAAAGATGCTCTAGACTATCTTCACTCTGAAACACAAATGAACTCATGAAGCAAACATAATATAAACATGAATGATATGACCTAAAGATAATAAACCTCAAGTACAAAACAACAAACACTAAAAAACCCCCAAAGATATTATGTAACACTGTGGTCTTTATATTTCTAGCTGCTTTGAAAAATGAGCACAAAGATTTTTAGGTTTTGGAGGCAAAACTTACAAAGCCAGAGTTTGCGCTGACAACGCTGTCGCAGCTACCAGCACTGTCCATGCCATTCATTGTTGCTGATTCAGTGCCACCTGGCCAGGTATCGCTTTTGGGCATTTTAGTCAGTGGCACACAATGTGGTTTTCATCTGTTGAAAGAGTTTAAATCAAGAAAGTGAACAAGGCAACTACAAAATGTATTCATGCAAATAAGATTTACTGAGAGACAGCTATGTAAAATTGTTTTTAATCTGTCATTATTTGTTAAAGACATGCGATGACAGTTCTAATCATATCTAATGATATCTGTGACATTGATTTTTTTTCTTCTGTATTAGTCAACAAATTCAGACGGCACATTAAAACTGCATACTGTTTACAGCTTCCATCCTCATAAGATATAGATGTTGTGTGGAAAATAATTCAGGTTTGCTGCTGTGTGTATCTGAAATTGAACCCTATAGTGTGGTAGACGTAAAACCACTGTGGGGCTATTTATAAGATGTTACTCAAGTTCATTACTGCAGACTTCTTATTCTTGTCTTCCTCTAAGACTGACTTACCTTTCTTATCTGCTGACCTGAAAAATTGTGCAAGCATTGTGCAGTTGCACAACCGCTTCTATATAATGATTAATTAAAGATCTTTTCAAGGAAACAAAGGGAAATATGAACTCATTGTAAATGTTGGTTTGCCCTAGTTCATACATTAATACATTGATTCATCATCTGCTTTGCTCTAAAAAGAATAATAGCATAAAACAAATCAATGTCATATCCTGAAACTGTGAATAATTGACTCATAAACAGAAAGTGTTGTAAAATAAAGCAACACAGACTATAGTTAAAGGCAAAAAAGAATTAAGATATTAAAAAACTAATCACCAACAGCTTTTGCTCCCCAGTTCCATGTCTGCATTTGCATTGAACTTTTTTGGCTAAATATTTGAAATGCACGTATAACTCTAAAATCATGGGGCTCCTTTTCTCTTCAGCTAATTAATAAATGTTTTTTTCAAATGATACTGCTTTAAAAACATTATTTTGCACAGGAACAGCTATTGGTTTATGGCACACTTTTAAAATATTGACTTTATTTAGAATTTGATAGTATCAACACATATGTAGCACTGATTGAATAAAAGAAACTGACAGAAATACTTAGCCACAACTAATCTTATTGTTGTTGAAACAACAATAAGATTGAGTCATCAGTCACTCAAATAACACTGCTGTTTTACTGTATTGACTCTTGCTTTTAAAGATTGCAGAACTGTAAAAATATTAATTAATTAATAATTAATGAACTGTGACTGGTATTAAACCTGGTAGCAAATATGAAAATCATGTGAATTATTTTTTAAACAGTACGTGCAGAGCAGCAATCTTGGATTTATGCTGGACTGACTTTTAGAGTTGAAAAGCTCCCAAAGTTGGGCATAGTCTTTTATTTTAAGATTACATAAAAGTTTTAAAATGTGAAATGACGTGTCAGGGAGATCATAAAGTAAAGTGAGGCTTGTGACCGATTTTAAATTACTCTTGTAGTTGGTGTTATTATTTTATTATTGTTTGATAACGTACTTTACTTTAACTTGTAAAGGACTCCGACTCTTTATGATAATAATCATTGCCTACCTGCAAGATTAACTAAAGTAGCATCCAAAATATAATCTTGGGTTTATGCTTAAACATTACATATTGCCAGTCTGCCCACAACGTGTTTAGTCTTAGACTGTTTAAATGTGTTTCCTTTTCCAGTTTCACTGAAAGTTGTCTCTATTTTCTCTAGAGTAAATATTTTCTGCAACACTGGAGTGACTCACATGCACAGAAAATTTCCAGTCATAAAACCCCAATTTCAAAGAATACGAGGCTATCATACCTTAGTGTTTGACAGATAGCTCCTGTCCTGCCCAGAGCATGTGACTTGGATTACAGCACACATGGCACTCCTAATCTTACTTTAGTGGATCAGTTTCAGAGGAAGTGGAGGGTGGCAGTAATGGACTTCTTAGAGCTATTCCATATCCAGTTTATACATGCTATTATCTTAATCCTTTTTAGTGTAAACGGTGGGCACTAAAGACTACTGTTAAGATGTGTTAGATCTTTAGCAGAGCATTGCCATTTTAAGATAAAGATGTGCTTTAATGTTGCTGTTTCCCAGATAGTGCTGCAGATTTAGTGTAAAAGCCCCTTCAGTATGAATCTGGCAACACTCACCAACAAACCTTGGGATACATTTCAACACCTGAGGCAAGGGCAGCAGGACAGACCCACAAAAACATCGAAGGCACAAAAGCATTTGTGTTCACTGTGCAAGTTTTGGTATGTCAATCCAACTCTGTAAAACTTCCAAGGCCCTATTGCCACATAAGTAGGTACAGGGGGTTTTCTGTACTACTGCAGATATAGTTCAATGTATCATTCTTAACAATACAGAGTTGTTGATATGTTGATAAGGTTTAGTTTGACGTAACCTGCGGCAAATACCCAAAAACTCCTCACTAAATTGAATTTTTGGTAATCACATGTTTTCTAAATTATTACCATAGAGTTATGACTTTTTTTGTTTGTTTTATTCATTTGCATTGTAAAAATGTAATTCACTAAGCCTTTATCTCAACACAGATACTTTTATTACCCACAAAGCTAGGATATGGCTACCACCATAATGTTCAATGAGCCAGAAAATACAGCAATAAATTTAACTGCCTCAAGGAAGTTATGTAAGAAGTAACATCAACCGTTTTTGTTTTCCCAGAGCAGCAATAAATCTGTATCTAAGTTTTAATTAGGGCCTAAGTTCATTTTTGCACTCTTTCATAATGTGTGCTACAATATTCATTAGAACATCCACTGATCAGTACCTAAAATGTAAAACTTTGATATAGCTAAAACTTAAGTAGTGACCTGATTGTCACTTGAACTGTCAACAGAGTAAAATATTCTAAGCAGAAATCGCTTAAAGTGGTTTGAAACATTTAGTTTATTTCATGAATTTAATTCAATCTATTAATGAACTAAATTCTTTACCTACATACACGCATGTATGACAACAGTCAGCTAATACAGTGATGTTTGCCATTAAGTGGTAATGATGCCTACCTGTCTCAGTCCTCGCGCAGCCCGCAGGTGGGACAGTCATCCTCAGGCTCGCATTCAATTGTGCGCGAGGTAAGCGCGAGGATCTGAAAACACCTGCACGGACTTTGAGCTCTAAGCTCTCAGCCAATCAGATGGCTGCACTATCCTCGAGGCAGGCAAGACTGTCAAGCGTCATTTTTATAAACAATTGTCTGTTTTGTATTGTTTCAGGATCAACAGGTTCGAGTCAGGCTTTTTATAGAATGTATTTGACAATAAGCTAATTATGTTGAAGCGCTTTAAATAATGTGATTTAATGTCAGCCGCTCTTCCCTCCTATGAGTAGTTTCATCCCCCTGTCATCGGTTTGTAGAGGTACTAAAATGTTATACGACGTTCTCAAAAAGATATTTGCAAATCATTTACAAAAATCATTTGGAGTTTAAGAAAAAAAAAAAAAACTTTGTTATTGCTAATTATATGTGGGACAGAAAACGGATCAATTAGTTTGGGTTGAAAAAGTGACTGCACCTCTTGATCTTTAGTCTCTAGCAGCGGTGACTAAATAAAACCTGAATCNTAAGTGAGGGTAGCTTAAGATAATGTAGTGTAATCTCACTATGACTTAAAACAGGCAGTGCCAAACTTCTTGCTTATGCTGAGAAAATATGGGTTATGTTTTAAAAAAATGATACAGCTATCAGGGAACACAATATTAAAAGGTTTTTAAAGATTTTTTTCCTCCCAAAATAATTAAATTCAAAAATAAAAACAAAAACAACATATGTGTAGATTCATTACAGTAAGTGAAATATTCCTTATTTTTATTTCTGGTGATATGGATGACCACGCAGCTAAAGCAATTAATGATGTTTCTCCTTTGACCAACAAAAAAGTTTTAACACAGATCAATCTGTGACTCTGTTGAGTCACCCCATATATCTCTATGAGGATTCAGCCAGCCAAATTTTATGGCCAATCAAATACAATGAAGTAATGGTTATTGAAACAGGTACTGGCTGATTAAGGAGTGGCTTGATACAATAGCTGCAAGTCATGTCCTGGATACATCTGTATTATGGCTCCTAAAGAAATTGACACCAGCTGCAGTCTATGCCTTGTATATCTCCCCAAAAATCTTTATTATGCTTCACAATCTGTTCTTGACTGAGAGACACACTCCTTGTGGTAATTTGAAGAATTAACCTAACAGTCATGTTTGTGGGAGGAACCAGAGCAGAGAACACACACATGCACAGGGAGTACATGCATCCTTAATGAAGAAAGGTCCAAGACTGGGAGTTGAATCCTGGACCTTCTCACTGCTACAATGCTACCAACTGCGTCACTGTGCAGCCCTACTGCAAGACTACTGCATCCTAAACCACAACTGTGACTGTGAATTGTTTGTTTATGCAATAAAACTCAAGACAACGGTCTTGGCTATAGCTTTTATTTGCGACAACACTGGAAAAAAAAAAAAAAATCAAGTAAATCCAGTTATTCCATAGTGCTTTGTGTGCAACATTCATTGTTGTTGTTAGTCATGAAAACCTGGTAAATACAAACAAGACATTTCATTGTTTCACCTTATGCAAGCTCATTAACCCAGAATCATAGCTAAACAAACTACAAAATATAAATGATGCACAACACACATAAAAAATACAACTCTAGTTTGTGTTATATGTCATCATACCCAACTCCTTACCACCACACCAATGTTTAAAAAGTATTAAATCAATCCTTCCACAGTCAAACTTACCATTTTGGCAACAACTCAGTACCAATATTGTCATAACAAATGTGTAAAAAAAAGAAATACTGGTCGAACGCAATGTTGGGCAACAAGAGAACTGCTTGAAGAAACAAAAAATTACCTCCAAATAAACTCTCTCTGACCCGGTTATTAAATTAGTGTAATTCCATGCAAAGCAATGATGCCTGACTTAATCATAAAATGTGAGAACATGCTCCAGTTGTGCAAAATGTACAGTAGAAGAGCGGCAAACGCAAGTCAACATGCACCAAATACTAAGACCTTAAGTGTCTCATCAACACAGAAACAGGTGCGGTTTCATGTTGCATTAGAAGTTAAAGGGTTAAACCTAATGGTGAATGAAATCATAATTGAAACAACAAAAATCCCTTAAATATTAGATCAGAAAGTAAACAGTTAAGGCTAATTAGCAAAAAAGAAGAAATAATTACTGAGTAAAGCTGATCTCATACACATACCTTATAATTAGGATTTCTAGACCACACTACACCTCTCACACTGTTAAACTACACACTTTTAATACATTTGTTTTTTTTTTCTCTGTGCAGCAGTTCAAAAATACAAAAAACTTTCACAGCATGATATTTAAAACCTGTAAGCCAGAATTACAAACTCCTGTGAACCTGTTAAACCAATCAAATGAATCATGAGCTACACATTTTGTAAAATGAGTTTACAGCACCTTTGTTATTTTAAACAAAACAAGATCACTGGTCAATGGCAATCTTCACACCAATAACAAAAAGGACGTACTTGAGCTAATTTGGACACACTTTGCTATATAATATTTTCATTTAAAATGTGTTTATTAAATCTCAATGTCAACTGCTCCATAAATTCAGGCAGATGTCATAAACAGCACATTTGCAGATGTATGACTATCTTAGCAGTAAAACGCATTACTTGTGCTCAACATCTAAACATCTGAAGCTAGACAAATAATCTTACTAATTAAATTCTGACATCTGTCTGCAAACAGAAAAACAACACTATAAAACCAACATGGATAACAGTCATACTGGCTGTGCTGTGTTTAAGACAACAGTGAATCAGATCACATCTCAGTACAAATAATTCTTAGTCGTTGTCCTCAACCTTTTGCAGAGACATGTACAAAGTAAGTTTGGTCAGTCACGGTTTAAGTAGCGGCAATTTGGTGCATTTTCAACTTGAAGCATAAGCCACATTGGTTACATCAATGAGATGGGTGATCTCAGCAGACCAAAACAAATCCTAAGAATTGTTTGCATATATAACTTCACTCCACTGAAAATATCTGAAACAATCCATTACCGACCCACAAGATGGATTAGTAACAGAGTACTTCAGTAGCATTTTTGACCTTAAGAGCTTTCAGCTGTTAGAAGGTAATACTGAACCAATTCGAGGCTTAACACAGTGTCTGAGGATTCTCCAAATATGTCAAAGGATAATGTGAGGTAGAGGATAACACAAGCAGGCCAACAAACTTTGCCGGACACGAGGGCACAGGAGTTGGAGGTGGTCGTATCTGTGAAAGGGAGAGAAGATAATACAGCTTTCACACTTCACCAAAATTGGTGTGGCCTGTCTCCTTGGCATGCTCACGGGCCTCCTTTTGTCCCACCAGGCCCGTCTGGCACACCATGCAGCGCAATGCAAAGCGGTTAATGTCCGTGAACTGACGCTTGCGGCGGGCCTCGTCTGCCAGCTCAAGGGCTTGGGCCAAGATGATGTCATCAGTGGTAGAGAAGATAGTCTGAGGTGGGGTATCGGATTGGGGAACCTCTTTTTGCAGAGGGTCATAGTGGATGCCGTCGTAGATGAGCAGCACGCGTTTTTGGTATCCAGCATCCTCTCCGAATCTATCGACCCGAACTGTCTGGGTGTCCACCACACAGATCTCACACTGGTAAAACTTGGACAGGATGGACACCTCAATGGCTCCCCCCCAGGTGTCGTCACGTTTTATCCAGGCGCAGTACTCCTCGTTGGTTTTTCCCAGGACTGCCTCACAGTAAGCTGTAGGGTCACTTGACACTATCTGAGCTATAAGGCTGCGCATTTCGGGGGCACAAGCCGGGTCATACACACCTCCTTCGACTACATAATTCACGCTAGTAAAGAGGCAGGAGTTGTCTGCTGGGACGACTCGACGTGCCAGCACAGGAGAGAGTTCCAAGTGGGGCGCTTTCACTATGGGATGATCCTGAGATTTTGACTTGTTCTTCTCCTCCTCAACAATGAGTGTGTCTCCTGTATACAATGATATAATAACCCAACACTTAATTTTTTTTTTTACCAAACTGATTGAGAAGGAATAAAGAAAGATTATATTGAATAAAGGTATCCAACATTAGCTCATAATAAAATAATATTGCTATTCTATTCTATCCAGTCCTAAAAATTAAAATCTCACATTTTTTCATTCAAGATTCTACTTCTGATTTTAACAGATGTTTTTCTCGCTTTCTTTTCTAAAAAATAAAAAATAAAAAATTACAAATCTCAGAGAATATTTTCAAAAAGCGGCTTGTATTTTAATTGTCCCTTTTCTGAGTAGGAGTTTTTAATTACCAAAGCATAATCATAACATTAGCAGAATAAAGATGCAATTTTACCATAAGACATCTTTCTTAAAATTACGAGAAAAAGTCGTTTTAGAGAGAAAAAAAAACTCCGATAGAGTTATCAGCATGATCAGCTCAGTTCATGTAGACCTTTCTTCTATTTCTAGAAGTAGATCTAGAAAGTATTTTTGTAGGAAGTAATTAAGTATTCTTTATTTAAATTTTTTGTTATTTTACATGTTGGTGTTCTCAAAAAATTTGTACTTAGTTCTTATAATATTATTACTTAATTCTGTTAATATTATGACTTTATTCTCATACTACTACAACTATATTTTGGTCGTAGTATTACTTTATTCTCATAATTAACAGAAGGAGAAGCTGTAAAACACGCTTGTCAAACTAATTCTATCTAATACGTTTAGAGTATAAAACACACACTTTCATACTTTGTGGATTATTACAGGAGTACATTTAAACATTGAAACTCCGATAAGTTAGTTTTGGAGCAAATATAGATGTTATTACATTGTTGCAGATTTCTGACTGTTAAAAATTCTCTTCTTTGAATCAGTGTTAGTATTTTATTAGCCTTAAATACTTGATTTAGTGAGTCATCTGTATATTTTCCCTGCGTGAAACATACCTGATTTGATGGGATAATCTTTTAAATGGGCATCTAAATTTCGGAGATCAAGGCTGGATGGCGGGTAGCCAACCATTATTTTCTGCACATCGCATGGGATCCCTGTTAACTCCTCCACTTTGCTCTTCAGCTCCTGGACGCAGGACTGGTGAGTCAAACCTTGCATTATGTGGCTCCCGTTTTTGGTCTTACAGCGAAGCCGCAACATCTTGCCTGCAAAAAGTAAGAAATGTCGAATCTTTGTGTTAAATATGTCTCAAAACCTATGGACATACTGATCCACATCCACAAATAAGAAAAAAAGCATGAATTTAATTAATTTTACAATTAAACTGAATCTCCACACGACTAGTGTGATCAACATATTACAGTTGTCTTTGAGAGAGTTTTTATATTTATTCAGGTTCAGCATCTAATCTGGTGGATTTGTTGGGGTTTTTTTTATCTGTAAGGTTTTTTCTACTTCTCCTGTCTTTATTATTGCATAATACTGAAACAGTATGAGATAGATCATTCATTTTAACCCAAAATAAAATGCTTGTAAAAAGAAATACAGCTTTCTTGACATGTAACACAGTTAACATTTTTTATTTCTGAGTTTATTATTAACATTTAGGACACTCAAGGCAAAGGATGTCCCTCCCTTCCAGTGAAGTCATGCTGACTGTGTTGAACTATGTCTATTTTATGATCATTAACAGGGATTTATTGGACTTAACTGATGGAAGAAATTCTGAGCCTGTATTCCCTGAATTACCTCCAATAGATCCTGTTATGATTCAGTCATGATCTAACGTGTACTCCAGCAGGAAGCCATCACAACCGTGGCACGGCTAACCCACTGTGACCCATGATTTAACTTTTTAAACAAAGCAGCACAGGTCAAGAATGACAACAGAACTGCTGACCAGTAGGAGAGTAAACACGCGACTGCTCCACTGCTTTGTTTTGGCTTCTTTGTTCCAGTTAACGACTTCATTCATTATCACGGTCCTACATACAGTAGGCTAATCTAATAATTCAGCACCAAGCTGCCAAATTTAGATTTTTATACTATACACTTGTAAAATACAGATTTTAACGACAATGTGTTAGAACAGTTTGAGGAGATAAATGAAAGAAACATCCGTCTGAGAGATGTTTACGCTAGCTAACCATGACGTTAATTGTGTTGCTAACATTAGCAGGCTAAGTTAGCCGTCAACCTATCCGTGCTCACAAAACAGTTCGAGTCTAAGCTGATTAATATACCAATCATTTGGCAACTCTGAAATGTTACACGATACGTTAAACTTTCAGAAACAGCAAAGTCTGTTGCTGTTTTCTTACCTGACGTTGACTTCTACCCTGCTTGCCTTAAACAAAACACGTAAAGCGAAAGGAAGTGACGTCAGTTGAGTTCTAAGTGAAAACGATTAAACCCGTACTTTTCTTTATTGTTCACACCTGTACAGTTTTTGCTTTTTATTTTTGGGTGTTATTGCTTTCAAAGTTTGTATTCATGTTTATGCGCTATATTGTTTAAAGGTTAGTAGTCTTGTCTACGGGAACTTCAAAATTTGTAGTAAAAGAAAAACAATTCTCAAAATTAAGTAATTTTGACATTACATGTCCTGGTTCTTAAAACAGGACATGTTTAGTCTAATTTCAT